ATTACGATTTTTTTTATTGTGTTACTAGTCTTCTCAAAACATTACAACAGCATGACTGAAGTAACACTCTCTTTAAACGTAACTTGAAAAACCGTCTGGTTAAGAAACTTTGTATTTTTAATGGCCATGTCATACAAGAATCGGTCAAGGTGTAAATAAATGTAAAACAAATTCACGAGTTAAATAGTGTTGCTGAAGATTTGAATAAGAAATATTTGTGTAAATATTGCACTTGCAGGAATACAGAGGGATTTTTTGCAAGTTTTGCCTAGGAAAGATTGGCTGTCAGCTCGGCTTTTCTTCTGATTGAATGACAGGTTGTAAAGCTGCTGCCTTTTTCTTACAAAGATACAGTGGAAGAAAAGGACTGAACATGGAAACTGTAAAGCCTAATTTAACCCAGTGTGTGAAGTTGGACGTATAGCAGGAGCAAATACAAGCACCCGATGTGTGTCTAATATAAAATAATACATTTAATCTATTTTTCTTTTTCCCCCTTATAAATACCGATCATTTGATGCGCTTTGCAGCTCTCTCTGTATTATGCTGCCTGATCTGTCTGGTTTTCAACTAGGTCCGCTAAGTGACGTCATGGGGGCGGGTACTTTCATTTACACTGCTACAGTCCCTCACCTCTGCTCGTGTTCAAACCAAAAGATTGGCGCGGTTTTTCACATGGCAGGCTTTTGCGCCCTTCAAACATGTTGAGATCGAGTTTATCGACTTGATGAGGGAATATGTCTTGACAATCCACACAGACGTGACTCAAGCAGGTCGCACACCAGAAGCGCCGCGACACATGACAGTTTAAACTATCACACACCAAACGCGCACATTCGCATGATATTTAACATGAAACTAATCAGATGGCGCTCTATGGCGCGGCTGAAATATGACCTGCGTCTAGAATCGTGGTGCTGCGCGGCGTGTCGCCGAGAGGGAGTAGGGGGAGGCTGCAGACTTGGAATCCAGACAGATCTACGGCCCAAGCAGTTTTACGGCCCAGGCAGTTTTACGCCCCTGTTGTTCCTGTTGTGTCCAGTAGAGGGAGGCAGTACAGTGTTATTTTAAGCCTCCAGAACTTTATCTCACCCAACCAAACGCAACACGATGAAGAGGTATCTATGTTAAATATGTGTTTAAAACATGGAACTTAAACCTTTTTTTTTAATTAGATTAAGATCGATGTGAGTGTATGTCAACACAAACAAATTGGTGTAGTATAACAGCAATGTGTTAGTTTGACTCAATTTTAGGTAACTATGTGCAGGCCAGCTACATGTTCTACATCAACAAAAGAGTAAAAGAACATTAACCTACATAAGAAAGTGTGATATGAAGGCAAATTTTCTTTTACCTTTTTGTCTCAGCAAGGGAGTAATTATTATATATTTAATAATTTTTAAAGATATATACACTTGCATGGTCTGGGTTGTTAGCCAAATCTGCACTCCAACTACACTATTCCTCCAAATTTGACTTTCTTAAATATTGAAATAAATCTAATCAGGTCTGAAAATTTAATTGATTTTATTTTAAATTTTAAAATTGCATTACTTTCAATTACAATCAATGTAATGCAATCCTGTTCTAATTTAAACAATTAAACTATCATATATCTATAAATGCATATAGAAACTCCCAATTATAAATTGTCTACTCATTTTTGTTCATATAGCTATCCAGTACATTTTATATATTACCAATGAAGTTTGAATTGCACATGCAATCATATTGTTTATCCCTTATTGTTTCACAATATTTATTGTAACAATACCTCTGCATTCTTATCAAAGCACATCATTACTCCATATTACACTGTATTGTTTGGTTATAATTTTGTTATTTTCAAAATGCAAATTTATATATGAACAATACAACAAATGCATATCTCTATATGAAAACGTATAGCTTGGCAACAATTAACCATTACACTATCCAACAACTTGTGTTTTTAATTTTTCTAATTAAATTAATGTAAATTAATTTGCAATTGGGCTTTTGCATATCTGGAATTATTTGGTGAGTGTATCAATTCTGCATATTACATAGTAAGTTTATAACTCACTTTATGATAAATTAACTTGGCGTTCATATTTAGCGTAATCTAATTTAAAGTATACATTTATGAACAGGACATTTAATAATCTGGGAGCGTTGACTTCAAATATATTATGTAGCCATGTATCTTTCACCCCCCCCTACTGGACGCATTAGGAACAACAGGGGTGTAAAGCTGTGGGGCGTAAAACTGCCTGGATCCAAGTCTGCAGACGCCCCATATAGCCGAGAGGCGCTTCTGGTGTGCTTCCTGCTTCATACAGAGTGAACCAAAGCACATTGGTGCCAATATAATGAATTAATTTTTTTTTTTTTTTAAATCGCGATTTCTCGATTTGATTCAAAATTAAATCGTCTGGAAACGTAAATTCGAATTAATCGAAAAAAATCGCCCAGCCCTAACTTTCCCAATTCTAAGACTGTATCTGACAATTAGTCACAGGCAAATAAACTTTAGTGACAAGGCAGCAAGTGGCCTGATCGGGCCAGTAATGATCCTGTCTACTGTCCCGAGCATCTCACACGCTGGCCTGGCAGTCCTTATTGTTGAGCCCTGATTGGCATCATTTATTTCGGTGTTTCGGTATCTGCTAAGAATTTTCATTTCGGTGCATCCTTATTTTGCATTTCTAATGGAATATTCCAGCATTGGTGCAGTATCATGGGATCATTTCTGAGCCATTTAAAGATTCAGCTCTCGGTTTAATTAGGCCAGTGCTGATGAGGATAATGAGTGTGTGAACAGAGCTCATCTCACGAGACCCCGCTCCACAGTTCTCATCAGTCTCGGTGTCTCTCAGGCAGGAGATTGAGCAGATCAACATGTGTTTCACTGAGCTGATGGACAGGGCGTATAATGGAAGTCAACGGGGCTCTTAAATGTGTTATCCTGGAGGCTCAGTGCCAGTGCTGGGGAGACATTTAAATACCACAACACTCACTGGACTCCACCAATGTAAACTCTGCCTGTGCCAATATTGCGTTTAAGTCAGTTTTGTTTAACTATTTGTAAATATGAAAATTAAGCACCAAGTAAAAAAACTGATATTTGTAGAAATATTTGTAAGCTGACCAAATTTACACTAAAATAGGAATCAGATATTAGGTTTCGATCCAGAAAAAATAAATCATTTGCATAAATAAATTTGACTAAACTATAATATTTTGTAGGAAGAATTAATTAAATTAAATGGTCATTAATTAAAATTTTTATTTATTGTCACTGTACAAAAATGTGTCATGATTCCACTTATTATATTTATCTTTTATTAATCACAGCTTTTCGCGTGTTTTTGCAATACAAATAATTTTTATTACCATGATTTTTGTTGTTTTTTAAATAATAAGATGATATATCCCCTTAAAATTTTAGACCATATCAACAAAAGTAACAAATCCAATATTTTGTAATATAATAATAATAATAATATTGCTGACAAATAAAATTTCTAATTAAGTGAATTACATTATTTAAAGATATTAAAGACTTTTATCTGCATTTTTTTCATGCTACCTACAATTTTTGCTTTTATTTTATAGTTTTTTTGTTTTATAGTCTACAAACTTCGACACAAAATTTGTGGGACTATTTATTAGACAATGTTTACATGTCAAAACGATTCTTTCAGGCCCACAAAATGCATACAATTTATATAATTTAGTTTGAAAAACGTGTTACATAGATTTACTCTTAGGTACGAGACTAATGAAAATAAAGTCGCAAAACAGATTCTTTCATTCATTCATTTTCTTTTCAGCTTAGTCGTTTTATTAATCTGGGTTCGCCGCAGCGGAATGAACCATCAACTTATCAAGCATATGTTTTATGCAGCGGATGACCTTCCAACCGCAACCCAGCGCTGGGAAACACCCATACACTCTTGCATTTACACCCACACGTACACTACGGCCAATTTATTCAAATCCCCTATAGCGCATGTGTTTGGACTGCGGGGAAACCAGAGCACCTGGAGGAAACCCACACCAACATGGGGAGAACATGCAAACTCTACACAGAAATGCCAACTGGCACAGCCGGGGCTCGAACCAGCAACAATCTTGCTGTGAGGCGACAGTGCTAACCACTGAGCCACCGTGCCGCCCAAAACAGAATCTTTACTAGGAAAAAAATAGTGGGGCTGGATTTTTACACTGACTGTGGTTTGCTATTGGTCAGTCACACTGAATGACACCTTGACTCCGCCTTCATGCCAGTGAACACCAATCAAAGAAGAAGAGCCACTGAAGTGGGCGTTATTTTGAAGAAAACTTGTATGAAATGTTATTTATTTAAAATTAAAAAAAATGTGCAAAGACAATAATTAATAATAAATATCGTACTAAAGTGTTTCAACACCGAACTAAAATATCATTCAAAATTAGAATTTTTGTATTGCAGAATATGGGTATTGCAAATCAGAGTTATTGATAGATGTTTAGGGGATAAATCAATCATTAGATAGATAAAAAATATATAAATAAAAAATAATACTGTGATTTCACCAAAAAAAAATGAAGTTAAAAAAGTACAGTAATACAGTACATCTGTTTATCTATTCCTCTTTTACTGTATTACTCCCATTCCTATTCAAATCATACCTGGTGTTTGGAGAAAATTGCTATTAGAGAAAAAAAAGTTATCTGCTTATTACCACAAAAAACCTTCAGTCATGCACATCACACATCTGTAAGTTTCATAACTTCAGTAAGGGGTTTCCAAACCTCTTATAAACCTGAATTATCTAATATGTCAAATGAGCCAATGTTTACAACATGAACAGTTAAAACTCAACACAATAAAACCTGAAACACCTCAAAGTTTCTATTTAGGCGTGTAAATTATGAACACATAAATAATTAATTATTCAAAAAACTTTGTTTTGATTAACGGTAAACTACAAAGGCCTACTGAATCCCCGCGGCTCGAGTGATTGACTTACCCTCCAGCGTGACCTCCTTCCCAGCCTTCTTCAGCGCCTGCACCGCCGCGTCGTGCGTAGCGTCGCGGAGGTCGCTGCCGTTGACGGACAGTATCGCGTCGCCCACACGCAGAGCTCGACTCTGATCCGCAGCTAAACCGGGGAAGATCTTTGATATTAGGATAGGCATACGGTTCTCCCGTCCCCCTTTAATGCTAATCCCCAGTCCGCCGGACTCCTGCTTGACTATCCGAACTCTGCGTACCCCCTCCGAGTCACAGTAACCGCTGGACTCCGAGTCCGACCCGGTCCCGTTAACGCGACCCGGGCTGTTGTCGTATTGCACGCGATTCGTAAACACATCCCGGTTCTGTTCGTTGCCATTGGAAACGCCGTTTTTCAGATGCGAATTGTGCTCCGGGTAACCCGCGGGCCCGCCCGGTTCTCCCTCCGCCGTGAGAGTGAGGTTGTCCCGCGTGAGCTCCGCTGACACCCGGACCCAGCGGTCGCTCAGCAGAAGGTCCAGATGACCCTGTTTCTCCGCGCGGGTCCACACGGCCATCATCAAACTTTAACTCATCCTAAAGTTTAAACTCGCTCGACACACCCACTCGCACGCACATTTCCCCTGAGGAAGGAAGAGGAGCGAAATTTTAATAATAAATCTGTTTAATAAGTTTAAACATTGGTATTTATTGCTGCAGCTCTCCGAGTTCGGGTTCTCACGGCACGGAGAAACTATTTAATTAAAAACACGCGCTGCTGCTTAGACCGGACGGCCGGAGAAAAGCGTTAGATTTGTATCTCATTGATTATTCATGAGAGGGGCGGGGATTGTCAACTTATTTATCTTTCCTCGCCGCACTAAAGCCACTAAAGCTGTACAGTGATTTAGAAACAAAGCGAAAATAATGGCGTAAAATTACTTCAGTGTCATCATTACTGTATGACTTTTGTTCTTATTATAATGCAGCTTTTAGTTGTAATAAGATAGATAGTAGGAAAACAAAGATAACTCTCTCATTAATAATTAATCAGATTCAAATCTTTATACGTTGAATAAGTTAATATCCAACAACAAATAATAATAATAGTTATTGTTAGTATTATAATTAATATAAAACAAAATAAATACGTTTTTAATATAAAATTTTAACTTGTCACTATTTCACAGACAGTTAAAAGACTATTGGTGAGCTAATTTAAGTTTTTATAAATAGATGGGATTATTAGTTAATTTTCATATTTACTGTTTTCATTTTAATAGAGAATTAAATTAAGCTTTAATAATCCTTCCATCCCGATACCATAAAGCAAAGTCCATTTTCATCTGTAGCTGAAGGGATTGAAGCTCTATTGTATTGAAGTCATGTGTTTGGTAAATCTGCTGGTCAATATAACACATAAGTGTTTTTGCCCAAAATAATATTGACTCGCAGTAAAAGATGTTGACTGTTCTCATTAGCTTCAAAGTGTTACTCATACTCTAAATGACTCACCTCAGCTTTAAAAAAAAACTCTAATACACAGCTTTATTTTATTTATCACAGTTGACAGAAAATTTATGTATGATAATTGTTTTTCCTTACACTAATTAATGTAGTCGTGTTGTTTTGAATTTGAGGGGGGAGGGGGGGGAGTATTCAAAATACAGTTTTGTGTAAGCGTTTGTGAATATGTTTATAGCACGAATATGGAAAAGAGGGAAAACTGATGAATCAACTGAGGATCATCAGGAACAACCATCACAAAGTAAAATAAATAAATAAGAACATAATTTCAGCTATTTTTCTGTCATGTAAACATCTTTGTTGTAAAATTTAGAATTGAAAAAAACAGCCTATGAACTCCTCAAAATGATTAATAAATTCAGAATTGCAGGAAGAAGAAAAAAACTAATTCAGAATTGTAATATAAACAAAGAAACATGAGATAGAAAAGTATCTCTGAACACACAACATGTCCAACCTTGAGGCGGATGGGCTACAGCAGCAGACAAACACACCGGGTGCCGCTCCTGTCAGCTACGAACAGGAAACTGAGGCTACAATTCACACAGGGTCACCAAAATTAAACAATAGAAGATTGGAGAAACGTTGCCTGCTCTGATGAGTCTCCATTTCTGCTGTGACATTCAGATGGTCGGGTCAGAATTTGGCCTCAACAACATGAAAGCATGGATCCATCCTGCCTTAAATCAACAGTTCAGGCTGGTGGTGGTGGTGGTGTAATGGTGTGGGAGATGTTTTCATGACACACTTTGGGCCCATTAGTACCAATTAATCATCGTGTCAACACCACAGCCTACCTGAGTATTGTTGCTGACCATGTCCATCCCTTAATAACCACAGCGTACCCATCTTCTGATGGCTACTTCCAGCAGAAGAACGCCGTTAAGTGCCAAACATCTCAGACTGGTTTCTTGCATGACAATGAGTTCACTGTACTCAAATGGCCTCCCCAGTCACCAAATCTCAATTCAATAGAGCAGCTTTGGGATGTGGTGGAATGGGAGATTGGCATCATGGATGTGCAGCTGACAAATCTGCACATTCATGATGCTATCATGTCAACATGGAGCAAAATCTTAAGAATATTTCCAGTGCCGTGTCGATTCTGAAGGTTAAAGGGGGTCCAACCTGGTACTAGTAAGGTGTACCTAATAAAGTGGCCAGTGAGTGAAGTCACTATTAACAACGTACATAATAAAATACCAAAATATAACACACCAACCGCATCTGTAGTATGGAAAAAATGCTCTGGAGAGTGATTTGTGGCATTGGTTTTATTGCAGACCTTACAAAATAAGAGCTCGAGCTGTGGACGGGAAGGCCACTTTATTACTGGATCACTGTTACCTGCTTCATTCCGACCTTCACTAATCAGTCAAACCAGATAAATACATCACACTCCGATGCTAAACCAAACTCCAAAGCATTAAAAATACATTAGCTTTTAAATATGCATTTACTAATGTACTATATGAGGATCTCTCCTATTAGCACGGCTCAGATACATAGCATTACTTTCAAGCTCGAATCAAGGAAAAGATGAAAAAAGGATTGTCTTTTATATAAGCCTTCTTCACGTTGTGGTTAGAGGTACATAGTGCGGGAGAGGGTGATAAGGCATGAATAATTCATATGTGATTCGCATCTCTATCCTTGAAAAGCCCTGTTCACATCCAGAATGAAAACTATAAAGCTATGTATATATTACAACTTTAAAGGGGACCTACTGTGCAAAAATAACTTTTATAAGGGGTTTAAACACAACTGTGTGGTGACAATCTGCTAATATAACCAGCTTATACTTGTAAATATTTATTAATTTTAATTTTCATGATCAACTTTAATAAAAACAGTCTGCAGAAACACTTTGACTGATGTTCTCCCTTTGTATGATGAGGGGGAAAGCCCCACCCACTCAATCTCTCCCTCATTAGCATATTACATCAGTCTTGTTGTTGAATCTGCCACTATGCTGACACACAGGCATTCGTGGCTCCGCCCTCTTCTGAAAAGAGCACAATCTCATTTGCATTTAAAAAGACAGTCACCAAAAATGCCACAATTTGGATCAAATCTTAAAAGGGGCCATTTCAAAGCATTATAAATCGTTATTTGTGTGGTACTTTGAGCTGAAACTTCATGCACACACAGGCTGCGTCCGAAACTGCCTAATACTCAGTAGGAACTGCATTTGCAAGTAAACGTACTACTCGGCCGTTAGAAAGGTACATTTTATACAGTATGAATTTTGAAAGTATGAATGGAATTCGGACGTACTACATCCGCCATTTTGTCATGGTCACATGACCTACCTGCATCAGTTGCGTCGCCTCACTTCCATTCATGAATTCTCTTAACGGGTCATTTTGGGATAGCGCAGCGTGCATGGAATGCACACTCCAGAATCTCGCCGGAAGTAGTAAGTCATCCAGGTACTTCTCGCCAACTGATTTTCGAATTCTATGAATTCGGACATACTAGTCGGCTCGCATACTGATTTTAGCGTACTATATAGTATGGAAGTATGCGGTTTCGGACGCAGCCACACTCTTGGGACATCAGTGACTCATTTTAAATCTTGTAAAAAAGCAACATAATAGGTCACCAGTGGCGTAGCGCAAAATGCGGGGGCCCCCCTGCAGGGACCACTAACGGGGTCCCCTCATGAGGGGAGGGGGCGATCACAAACTGTGGGGACAGGGAGAGTAGGTGGAGCGACGACACGAGGAAGCGATCATAAATTGAGGAGCGGGAAAGGGGGATGGGGTGGAGTGACAACGCGGGGAAGCGATGACAAACTAAGGAGCGGGAAAAGGGGGCGGGGTGGAGTGACAACGCAAGGTAACATTTACAAACAAGCTGCGAAAGCATCAAAGTAGCCGGAAGTCATACAATTTCAATGAGAACCAGTGGCGAGGAGCAGTGTGGCGCGTCTTCTCCGGTGTGGGCATCGAGGAGGACTTGAAATCAAATCAACTTTATGGTAATGAGCTATGACGCGGTTCGGCGGCTAGCAATCAGAATAAAGTAGTCCACCGTTTGAGAGGAGTTCAGAGAACACAGACCTGGGAACTTTGGTTCTGACCAGTTGTTCCCAGGGGTTTGATTATTGCGGTTCCCGGATTTTCAATTATTTAAAAAAAAAAAAAAAAAAAACGCACCGACGCGGGACCCCTAATCACGTGGGGCCCCTCCCCGCGATGCGTGAACTGCAGGCCCGTCCGCTACGCCAATGTAGGTCACCTTTATTGATAATAAACTATAAAATATTTTATTTCAAACTTTAATGAACTAAAAACAACAATACTGTAGAACAGGGGTGGGCAAACTCGCTCCTGGAGGCCCAGTGTCCTGCAGACTTGTGCTTCAACACTAATTAAACACAAACCTGAACATGTTAATCAGTGTCTTTGAGATCACTAGAAATCTATAAGCTGGTGCGTTTGCTTAGAGTTGGAGCTAAACTGTGCGGGACACCGGCCCTCCAGGACCGAGTTTGCCCATCCCTGCTGTGGAACAACTATAATAAATGCTATCGTGCACTGGTGTGGAGGCTAACTGAGTTAGGCTTATAAGTGATTAAGTTGTCACTTTAAATGCTCAAGGTCATTGAAGCAGAATCTGATTGGCTGCCCGTGTTTTTATTCATCAGATGAAAAAAGTGTTTGATATTCATGTGTAGTTATTGTATTAGTTGCAGTGCAAGCTGATCTTTTTCATAAATTCAGAATGATTATTAAAACTAGTTATAGTTATCATTCTTGGTATGGAAGCTTGTTTTTGCCTCAGAGCTACGAGAAGTAAATTCAGAATTGAAAGAGCCTAAAAACTCACATTAATAAGCAATGCAAGAAAAAAAACTATTGAACTGTAATACAGGGTGATCCAAAAAGAAAACCACAACTTTAAAAATCTGGATTTAATCAAAGAAACATCATGGAACCTTGGGAAATTTTTGGGTAAGCTAAAATTGGCCATAGTGTACGAGTGTGTGCAAATTTTGTGTGTCCCATTACTGGGTTGCAGCTGGAAGTGCATCTGCTGCATAAAACATATGCTGGAATAGTTTGCGGTTCATTCCGCTGTGGTGACCCCTTATAAATAAGGGACTAAGCTGAAAGAAAACGAATGTATGAAAGACTTTTAAATTGTGTAACAATGTCAGAACTTTAACTTAAGAGAAACAGTCAGCTGTGAAAAATCCAGAACTGCGAGCTCACAATTACCTTATTGTAGGGTAAACAAGCTTCCATACCAGGTCGTGAACAGGCCTCAACACTGTCAAACATTTC